TAGCATTTTTAACGCTGGTAAAAATGAGAAATAAAAAAAAAACAATTGAGAGTCGTTATTTTGATTTTTTTCAGTAAAATAACATTTTTTTTAAATGGAAACCCCTGTATATTATATTTTTTTCTGTTAAAGCATCAAATTCTAAACAAAAAAGCTTACAATAACTTTTCTCCTAGGTTACAAATTGTTGAAGTTATGGCCTCCAATCTGAAACAATTAAATTGTATCGACAAACTTTATTTTCAACATCAACTTATAATCTTACAAAATACAATAACAATTTTTTTTAAAGAAGATGCTCGAAAACACCACCTTGTTCTTCAATACATTTTTGGGCACGTTTTTCAACTGCTCGAACTGTCTTAAGTATGGTCCTACCATCTATCTGGGTTATCTTTTCCCTAACTGCAGTCTTTAACGCGTCAAGGTTATCGTACCTTCGCTTGTAAATTTGGTTCTTTAAGTAACCCCACAAGAAGTAATCAAGTGGGTTTAGATCTGGTCATCTGGGAGGCCACTGTATTGGGCCATTTGTTCCTATCCACTGATCATTAAAAGTAGTACTTAGAAAATGATAAGTACCTCTGGAGTTGTGGGCAGGTGCGCCATCTTGCTGAAAATGCAGATGATGTCTACTTATAAGATCCAATTCGTCTAAGAAATTAGTCAGAATTTCTGACATAAATTCCACATATCTTTCACCAGTTAGGGTTCCCTCATAAAAGAACGGGCCAACAATTTTTGAACCAATTATACCGCACCAAACGTTGAAACTGAAACGGACTTGTGGGCCTCTTGGATGTACTAACAAAAGATTTTCTCTTGACCAATAATGGTGGTTTTTTCTATTAAACATTCCAGAATTTGAAAAATTTGATTCATCTGTCCATAAAAGGTAACGAAAGTTATTTACATTTTGGCGACAGAAGCTAAGATACCGATGGTCAAGTCTTCTCTCTGGATCCCCTGCCAAAAGCGTTTGAACTGGTCGGTACTTATACGGAATAAATTTGTATTTTTTTAAAATCCTTTGAACAGTACCATAACTGAAATTAGAGTCCTTGAGAATATCTGCTATTGAATTCTCACGATAAGCTTCAAAATATCCAATAACTGCAATTTCCGTGGCCTCGCTTATTATGAATTCTTTTTTTGCCCTTGTTTTAGCAAAAACATTTTCGTTGCCCCTAAATTTTCGATAAAGTCTCAGAAAATATCGTTCATACGGTTGAATGCGAGCGGGATATAATTCACTGTAGTATTCTCTTGCTCTCAAGGAGGATTTTCTGCACACTAAATAGCATTCTAACATATCACACTTTTCTTCATGGGAGAACATTTTTCTTTAAATTAATGACACAATAAAGCTTATAAACAAGTATTTACACTAATGTTTGACATTATTTGATTTTATCATTGTTTTCCAAAGCCTTCTAGTTGCGAGTATGTCCAGTTTAACAATTTGTCGCTTATCTTAATGCTGTCAAATCGCGAACGCCATGTTGTTTTCATAGCCGTCTTAATATTATAATACTGCAAATAATTAAAAATATTTATCGTTATTTTGACTTTATTTTTGACTTTAGCGGAAAAGTCATTATGAACTTTTTTGTTTAAAATTTGATACTTTAACAGAAAAAAATATAATATACAGGGGTTTCCATTTAAAAAAATGTTATTTTACTGAAAAAAATCAAAATAACGACTCTCAATTGTTTTTTTTTTATTTCTCATTTTTACCAGCGTTAAAAATGCTACTAGTTTGCTAATTCAAACAACTTTGTATTTTCACTAATAACAAAGTTACTAATGGTGGACACTTAATTTGGATAACCCTGTATACAAGGTGTCTTAGATAAGGATCCTATGAAGTCGTCAATCCTCTAGAAAATAACCAAATGCCCTCCAAAAAAAAACGAGAAAAACCCACCTATCAATTCGAAAATTTGGCCGAGGTGACACCTTATTTTGAACTGATCATAATTTGGATACCTTTGGGAGCAATTTTCATATGTAGTTTTTCCAGTAGCCTGTGTGGAAGTGGAAGTATTTTTATATCGCTGGATTTACGTAATAATCTGTTTGACTAATTCAAAGTTGTACTTGGTTCCCAAGAGCTGCTAACGTTTTGAAGTATGAGGTAAATAGGTCACTCTCCCATCATATTCCATCTATGGGCAAAGGGATTGTAGATCTGGCAGCGATGATATAAGAGTTACTTAGATAATTTATCATAGCTATTTTCACTTTTCACTATTTTCTGAATACAGCGTGTACCAAAACTTTAGACACATCCAAGTATCTCGACAACTAAGAAGGCTAGAAAAAACTTTGAGTACATATGTTTTAGGAATTCAAATGGCACATCTAGCGGTGAGCTTGGATTTAACGTTGACATCCACCTTGAAGGCCATTTCGAGGGCAAGTTGATTTTTTCAAATAGGAACACCATTTTTTGCACAAATAGAAAGCACGTTACGTGTTGAACGCCAAGGAGGACACACGTTCGCTTGGCTGAAAAGGACTCGTGTATACCAAGCTCGCTGTCGAAAAATATACAGTTTCCCTCATTGATCATTTTTCTGTCGTGGACGATTAACATTGAGATCATTTTACAGGGTGGCGCATCGAAAACGAAACAGACGCATTTACTGGCAGCTCAGTTTTTTTTTGGAAAACGCTCAGACCGATTTTGTTTTCGAGGGGGACACAAGTTTGGCGAAAAATGACGTTAACACGAGCAGCCCCCTGTGCGGGGATGACACCAACCCAAAAATCTTAAATGGAAAGGGGTGTCCAGTGATACCTTATTTTATAATGATACATGAGCTTCAGTTCAGTAGTTTTGAAGATTTATTGATGTAAAGCTTAAAGTAGACTTTAATAGGTTCATCAGATTAGTTTGTACTACTTTCAGAAGAAATTTGACTAAAAGAATTTACTTAATAAGTAAATGCTTTTCTTCGCTACGTCCATGGTTTGTTTATCATTTTGTTGTTGAAAATAGCTATTGGAGCGTTTTTTTGTGGCAAAAAAGTTATTTCTTGAAGAAAGATAAGGAAATATCTCGTACTTATTTTAAATAGGAATTTAGTACATAGTTTGCGATTGATTTGACCAAACTTTGTTGCTAAAATAACTTGTAACGCTTTATTACATAAATTAACCATGGTATATTCCACAGCAGAAATATTTTTCGGAAATAATCAGTGCGCTGATAGAACAGCAGAAATATTTAATGAGCGACACGAGAACAGTAACGTGCATCGAAAATATGTTCTAGAACTTGTAGCTAAATTTCGGGAAACTGGGTCAGTCGCCAATAAAAAACGCAACATTGAAAATCCCATAAGGAACGAAGCAATAGAAGTGGGGGTTTTAGGACAAGTTTAAGTAGATCCTACGTTAAGTACCCGCAAATTGGAGACTGTGTGCGGTGTTAGTCGACGTACTGTCCAACGGATTCTAAAGGCCCATAGTTTTCATCCGTATAAAATTCACCTGGTACAAGAACTTAATGAAGACGATTTTGATCGGCGATTACAATTTTGTGAAGATATGAGTGAACGAATTATAGACCATGAATATTTTCTATTCGACACTTGTTTTTTCCAACGAATGTTCGTTTTTCTTAAGTGGCGTAGTAAATAGTCATAACTGCCGATAAAAATACCAGCCCAAACATTTAGGGCTGGTATTTTTAGCGATCATTTAGTTGGTCCTTTTTTCTTACCTGGAAATTTGACCGGTGAAATGTATTTGGAATTATTGGAGGACGCCATAGATCCTGCACTAAAAGCCATAATTGAAAATCAGAATGATCGGCGGTACATTGCGAATAGGTTGATGTTCCAACAGGATGGTGCCCCACCACATTACGCATTACGTGTTCGACAATATTTAGATCAGACGTTTCCAGATCGATCGATTGGTAGAAGAGGTGCCATTGAATGGCCCCCAAGATCGCCAGATTTATCACCTTTGGATTTCTTTATGTGGGGTCATTTAAAAAGCAAAATCCATGCTACTCAGCCAACATCATTAGAAGACCTGCGACAAAGAATTGTGAATGAGTGCCGGCGTCGGTCGGGACAGGCGGCGTAAATAAAAAAACTAAAAACAATAGCAGTGGTAACGTTGGTGTCTTCGATCTCACATTTGATGATGAATCCTCATTGAATCAAAGGGAAGATGTAGTGCAAAATATATTTTCTAATAGCTCCCCCGCCAGCATGGACTACAATACTTCCAACAAGATGACGATATTTCTCCCCAACTAGTTAATCCTAAATGTGATAAGTACGTATGTTTAAGTATTTATTGAAAAAATCAACTCGGAAAATCTCGGTAGGTTGCATCCTCTATACGTAGGTCATACTCGTATACTACATAAACAGTTGGGTTTAAGTAGCATAATAACAACAATCGTGTTGGAGTTAATAGGGTAAAGGTTGGTGTTAGGTCTACCTCTCAAGCAAATAGACTGGTCCTAAACCCCAATCTGAAAAATGAAAGTTTGAGGGCATTTATCCCGAATAATTTATTACACCGTAATGGCTTAATCAGATGTGTTGATTCGTACTTTGATGATGCATACCTGAGATATAATATAGTTTCACAGAACGGCATTCTCGACATAAAAAGATTGAACAGAAAAATATACAAAAATGGTGAACAAGAATTTATCCCCAGGCAGATGGTTGTGATTACCTTTGAGGGCAATATTCTGCCTAGGGAAGTGAATATTAACATTGTCATATTTTCTGTCGAGCCCTTTGTTCAAAGGGTAATTCAGTGCTACAAGTGCCTCAGATTTGGTCATGTGTCCAGCCAGTGTCGCAGCGCACAATCGCGCTGCGTTATATGTGGTCAAAATAATTCTGAAAATCACGATTGTGACGAATCAAACATTTTTTGCATCTACTGCAAAAATAATAAACATAAATCTACTTCCACCAGCTGTCCTCATTTTCAGAAACAGCAAAAAAATCTAAAAAATCATGGCCGCAAACAATATGTCTTTTTCTGATGCAAAAAGCTCAGTTGAGCATTCGTATGCCAATGTGACTACTAATAATAGGTATGAAATATTAGACTCAGCCTTAGCTGAAAATTTTCCTGCTCTACCTCAACGTAATCAAAACATAAGAAATTCCTCTCAGCCTTCCCAAAGGTATCACCAAATGTACCCTCTCCCCACTCTAGGATTCAACAAAAAAAGAAAAGTTCAATCTTCTCCAGTAAACAACGCAGCACCCATGTTCTCCTTTAATGTAGGCCCTTCAACATCTATCCTTTCTAGTCAAAGTTATCAATCAAATGTATCCGACAAAGATGAGATCATTGAGAAGCTATCAACGCTTCTATATCAATTAATAAACAGTGCTCAGAATTTTGATGAACCGAAAAAGCTAAGTAAAAATACAATTAAAAATCAAGTCTACCCGTACATTAACATGCAACAAAAAAATTTGTATCCGAAACAACGCAGTGAATATCAAAATTCTGCAATGGACTGCCCGTCCTGCCGTGTGCAATAAAAACAGTCTTGCAAACTTCCTCTTTCATAACAATATAGACATTGCACTTATCAGCGAAACCTGTTTTAAAGCGCTTACCATAAGATTTCCAGGATACAACATAGTGAGGAAGGACCGTGAGGATGGTAGAGCAGGGGTGGCAATTGTGATAAAACGGGGTCTTCCCTATCAAGAAATCGATCTTCGTATTGCTAACCCAAATATAATGGTATGTGGTTTGAGTATCACCAAACATAACCTTGACTTATCTATTTTTTCAATTTACACACCACCTAATATTCGATCCAGTTCTTCCGATTGGGAAGAAATTATTTCATATTCTCGCTCTTCCACTCTCCTTGGAGGAGATCTCAATGCCCACTCCCAGTCATGGAGCTCTGACTATGACGACATAACAAGGAGGCAAATTTTAGAATTTTGCGATTCATCTAACCTGGAGATAATGAATGATGGTACACCTACAAGATTTGTCGCTCCTAACATTCGAAAATCTGCTCCTGACATCACCATTTGCAGCCCCGATATTGCCCAGTTGACATCATGGAAAGTATGCGATGATACACTTGGTTCAGACCATTTCCCTATAACCCTGGATATAACTTTCCCTCATCACCTAAACGAAACAATTAACCCTAAGTAAAAATGGAATCTAAAAAAAGCTAATTGGCTTTCTTATCAGTTACTTTTACATCATGCATTTTCTTCAATCCCAACCTTTGATTCAGAACAGAAAATAAGTACAAGTATTTCATAGATTCAAAGCTGGTCATCGTGCACCTCCACCCTGGTGGGATGATGGATGTTTCGAAGCAGCTAATCGAAGAAAATTTGCTCTTTCCGCATATAAATCAGATAGTTCCTTAGAGAATTACATAGAGTGCAAAAAGATATTTGCATCAACCAAAAAATTATTCATAACCAAAGCAACAAATAATTGGATTGTGTGGTGCTCAAAGTTTAAATAAAAGTGATCTATGGAAACAAGCCCGTATTGCAAAGCGTATAGATTTTTCTACAGTTAGATGTAATAATTATGACTGGGTTAATGACTTTGCGACAAAATACTCTCCCTTAACCGCACACTCCTACTTTGGATCATGCCCTTCTGTTTCAGGTTCTGAAGAAGATATTTTCAATACAGCGATATCACTAGTGGAGCTGGAATGCGCCCTCGAAAAGTCACTTAACACAGTCCCCGGCCGTGATAATATCAGGTACCCAATATTGTGACATCTTCCAGCTAACGCCAAACTTTTTTTAGTAGACACTTGAATGACGTCTGGCTGAAGGGTGAGAATATTGATGAATGGAAAAAGGTTGTCGTCTTCCTATCCTCATACCCAACAAAGATCCTGACTGTGCTGATTCTTATCGTCCAATCTCTCTGTTGTCATGTGTTCTCAAAACCTTTGAGCGCATTATAAAAAAGCGAATTGAATGGTGGGTCAGGTCTCACAAGCTCCCTGCTGGACAGGGTACAGGATCCTTGGATGCAGTTGCTCACCTAGTTACTGATATTCAGTGTTGTTTTTCCAAGAATAATTATTTGGCTGCAACCTTTATAGACATAATCGGTGCCTACAATCACATCGACCTACACAGAGTACGTCATAAAATGGAAAAGTATGGTATTCTTGCTCGTACGAGCTATGTGATAGCTAATTTATACTACAATAGACCAGTATATGTGAGAGGCCATAATAATCAATGTCTCGGTCCTAGAGTCTCATTCACAGGCCTTCCCCAGGGTGCAGTCCTCAGCCCTATCATTTTTAATATATACACAGCCGACCTCCACTCCATTGATACAGAAGTTCAACTGGTACAGTACGCTGATGATTTCTGTATCTGCATTGAAAGAAAAACCACAGAACAGTGCGTACAAACTTTGAATAGAGATATGATAGAATACTCCAGATGGTTCAATGACAATGGTTTTATAATTTCCAATTCTAAATCGGTTGTTTGTTTTTGCTCACGCCACAGAATGGACATGAGTTACAATACAGAATTAGGGGGCATATGTTTCAATATTGTCTCCGAAGTAAAGTACCTTGGTATCATCCTTGACAGAAAGTTATGTTGGAAACAGTTTATCTCATATATTATTACGAAATGCAATGTAAGCGTCAACTTCTTTCGTATGATCGCTAAAACTTGGTGGGGTGCCGACCAAAAAATTGACATTTTATTTTATAGATCTTATATACGGTCAATTATTGATTATGTGTCCATTTTGTATGGAACAGCCTCAAAAGCACTGCTTCGTAAATCAAATATAATCTAAAATAAATTTATTAGGATTTGTTTGGGAGTAATGTGCTCCTCTCTGACCGAAGCGCTGAGGGTTGAAGCTTTGGAACCACCACTCCATCTCCGTAGGGAAATGCTCGCAAAACAATTCCTTCTCAAACAAATATCACAGGATACAGTACTACTTTCAAAAATATGCCAGCTGAACACTTTTGAATTCACTGATAAGTACTGGGAGAAGAAACCTCCTCCGTTGTGTGCAGCCTTCCAGCAAACAAATCTAGATTTAATAGCTCTCAAAAATTTCTACACCACAGACGATATTGATCTATTCCAGCTTATGAAAAATAATTATTTAATTATTCCCAGTCACGGTAACAATTCTCATATCAATAAAACCATTCTCTTGTCCATATGCAATAGTCCCAATGATTATAAACATATCTTCACGGATGCTTCTAAGTCTAGTTCTGGTTCAGGTTGTGGTTTCTACGTTGTTGATGATGATTTTTCTGCAAAGTTTAAACTACCATATTTGTTCTCCATATTCTCTGCCGAAGCTATGGCTATCATTCAAGCATTACAGTATATCCAATTTAATAACATCCAGAAAGCTGTAATATTTTCCGATTCACAATCTTGTAGCCTTAGGAAACATCAATAACTGCAAGTCACCTATCAACATCTATGTTCTCCATCTCAAACAATGTTGCTCGATCTGAAATCCGCTAATGCAGACATCCATCTTTACTGGATCAAAGGGCATAGCGGTCTCTCGCTTAATGAAAGAGCAGATGAACTGGCTAGACTGAGCGCACAGATGGCATCGTACTTCAAGTCACTCCATCGGTAGAAGATTACAACTACTTTTTCAAAAAACATGTTCGAATCCTGGTCCCGGGAATGGAAAAAATATTGCTCATCCCACCCGTCCAGATACACTTCCATCCAACCAGATACTATATACCTCGATTATATTGCCATGATAACAAGATTTCGAGAGGAAGTACGTATCCTGCATTACTCGTATGAAAATTGGACATGGCTCCTTCCCTTCGCACCTCGCTAGGTTGAAACTAATACCCTCGGAACTTTGTGAGCATTGCAGTTTCAAAGGAAACTTGGATCACATCTTTTTCGGTTGTATTAAGCATCTTACACACTGTGACAATCTTTACCTAAACTTACTCGTGCGCAGGTTTCCTGCACCGTACAATACACAATCACGTCTCTCGCTACAAAAACCTGAAGTGACTTCCTGCTTTATGGAATTCATCAAAATTCTGGTATCAAAATCTAGAGTCGCTAAAATAATTCAATTTATTCTCTTTTTCTCCCTTTATCCGTGATCCAGACAGGGTTAATGGTTATAAATTATAGTGTTACCTATATAAGTTTTAGCGTTTTTCCTCTGCCCCTTCGATATATGTATTTTTATTCTTCTTACCGGGCGAGAAGAAAGTGTGACCCTGTCGAATACCTCAAATTTCCTATTCTCCTGCCATACTAGATTAGTTTTCCTTGTGATGCTTTCTCTACGAAAACGTTTTAATGATAATATTCTTATTATATGGTATATAACTTGTTTCTGGTTGATGGGTTATATCCCAGTGCCATTGTTAAAAAAAAGCAAAGAAAACCCAACCAACGGTACATCTGACGGTAACCTTCATTCTGACCTTATCTACGACCCTAAAGGTCCATTTAAGGTCAACTTGATTTTTTCACATGCTCCATTTGATTTCCTAAAACGTCTGTATCGAAAGTTTTTTCTAGCACCCTTAGTTTCCGAGATCTTTGGGTGTGTCCATACTTTGGGGACACCCTGTACAGTGTTGTGCCGTCATGCCCATAAAGTAAACCAAAGGTGACAGCACTACACTTATATACAGCGCAACTCATTACCAGTTCAGTGCCACATGAGTTGTCGATCTGGCTTGCTTCGTTCCTGTGTAGTCATTATTTTTGCTAGTGCTGTTTTTTACGATGACAAGCTTCAGTGAGCAACGTGCAGCTATGAAATTGTGCTTTCCAATTGATAAAAATGCTGCTGAAACTGTTTTAATGTTGAAAATAGCTTACAAAGATGATGCTATGGAAAAAACTGAAGTGTACTAGTGGTTTGCTCGGTTTAAGAATGGCGACATGTCGATTGATGACAAACCTCGCTCTGGATAACTGCCCGAATCGACGAAAATGTAGAAAAAATTCGAGATCTTGTGCTATTTGGAGGTTTTAAGACGATTGCGAAACAGTGTTCGATTTGTGGCAGTCAGGAGACTGGTTCTTTCACCACGATTATGCACCTGCGCACACAGACATCTCTGTTCGACAGTTTCTGGCTAAAAATGGCATGGTTCCGCTGCCTTATTCGCCTGACCTGGCTTCGTCCGACTTTTTCTTATTTCCACGCATGAAAAGGGGCATGAAAGGACGCCGCTTTGACGACATTGAAGGGGTCAAGAAAAAACAAGGGAGGAGCTGTCAGACATTTCTGCGGAAGACTTCAAAAAATGTTTTGAGCAGTGGAAGCACCGGTGGGACAAATGTATTGGTTGTAGTGGACAGTATTTCGAAGGAGATAAGATTACTTTGTGAAAAAGTTAAAAATAAGTATCTTTTAAAAAATAATTCCATTTTTTTTGGGTTCCTCCGTCGTATATATGTATATATAATAGAATGGTGCATGTGACGTTACTTACAGTATATCTCCCTCCGTATCGCCTCTTGACCTCCAGGTCTCATATGATCTTTATCTCTAGTTCCGATTTGAATTCCAGCGGTCTTTAAATGGAAAAACGGAGGCGAACCCATAATAAACTAACACAATCACTTAAATAAAATCTAGCCTATGATCATGACTACCTACATTATGGCTAGATAAGACTCAAGATAGCTTGTACAAAACTAAATTTACAAAAGCAGAGATGATCATATATAGTCATGAAATAATATGCAATACCATTGGCTATTGTATATATATATATATATATATGCCCCTTTTACGCATAAAGTCTCAAATATATTCGCATCAAGAATTGCTGGTTTGGTATGTCTGACAGCCATCGTAACATTGAACATACCTCTTGTGAGATATGAATATCAATATCTGTTAGAGGACGAATTAACCACATTATCAAAGACAGTAATACATTTAATTTGGCTTACAGAATTTGTATTTTCGATACTCTTAATAATCCTACTCAATTTTAGCAGTGTGAAAACCTGGAGAGCCTTGTTCAAACATGCTCATATTTTGAACAGAAGTATGTATGTTTTGAAAGGCAACAAGCGACAATGCAACTGTAGTATTTATTTTCTAATATATATGAACGTCGTGTCATGTTATTATTCTACGCTGGCAGATTCTATATATGGCTGGATCTAGAATGTTTCGTTGAAGAAAGCACCTGTTACGTCAACATGTTGGTACTAATTTTCCTCGAAAATCTATTTACTAACAACTATATTGTCTTTAGAATATGGTTGGTACGGGTATATGAAGATATCAACGATTCTTTGGTAGAGCATGAAGATAGAATTGATATAGAAGTGGCTGAAAGGATAGAAAGGTGTTACAAATATGGTTATGATGTGATGAAATGCTACAACGACATTGTGTATACAGGGTTTCCAAAAAGTATGAACACATCAAAATATCTGGAAAAATATGTTTCCTATAAAAATGTTCTGAAACAAAGTTGTAAGGTTTGAGAAGAGTCATCTAATAGGGCCATTGACCGTGTCCATGACTTGATTTTGCCTTTTGAAGCGATTTGACTCACCTCACCTACGAAGAAGGCGCAGGAAGTATAGAGTCTGTAAAATAATTTCATTTATTTGTTTACCAACAGCGATATGTAATTGTAATTCAGTAAATAGCAAATAAGCCCCACGAAAATAATGCACCCTATAGTGTCTAGGTTTTGCGAACACGATGAAGCTGACTCGCCTCGACTTGGTTGTCGGTTGTTACAATTTTCATTTATGGATACATTTGGTAGTCCGTGGGGCGCTGCGACATTATGTGGGCTTGTTACCATTTTTTGATTTGGTTACTCACTTCTCACTCGTTACTAGCCGTTTTGGTTACCGGCTGTAGTGTGCGTATAATTAAACATGGATGAGTGTCGCTGCGTAATCGATCAACTACTTGAAAAGTCATTCTCCTTGTATAAATTTTAAGAAAAAAAGGAGATTATTGAAAATGGAACACCAACACCTATTTTAGATAATTTTAAAAAGGTATAAAAATACGTAGTTTGATATTTTAAATTAAGTTGGTATATAGAAACTCTTCTTTATGTGGTTGCAAAAAACAGATTGTATTGTTGGCGATGTCTTCTGTTTTATACAGAAAAAACTGGGTGGACCAGCAGCGGGGTCAACGATTTAAATAGTCTTAGGGCTCTAAAGAGGAGACATGAAATTTCTCCGTTAAATGTGAGATGTGTAGCCAATTTAATTCAATTTGGCAAAACAGGAATCGAGAGTTGTCTTAACCAAGCTTTTAGGCAGCACACTTCTAGAGACCGTATGTTTTTTGGCAAAACAGGAATTACCGTTCATTTTGAAGGGAAATGACTCTGACAATAGAGGAAATTACAGGGAATTGTTAACATTCATTGCCAAAAAAGATCAATTTTCCGAATATCTAGAAACGTCGACTGTTTAATAAGTTTAATAAGATTTTTTACATTTGGTTTTGGTAACAGTTTAGGAAAAGTCACGCGTCGCCACTGGTGAAAACAAGGGTCTTCTATCACCCAATTCATGCGTGTGTGCAAGAACGACTGGCAGCTGCCTTACGGATCGGCTTGCGCAGTGTACAATTTCTCTCAGGAAAGTTGAGCTATGCACAGGTACCATTAGACAATCTGGTTACCTATGTCTTATGGCATTATGACGTAACCGTCAAAGACCCTGAAGAGGACTATAGCTCCATGCATCTATCAGTTTACTAGTGCAAGATTCTTAACGTACGGCTGTGTCTAATATTATTGTTTGACGTTTTCTCGCAACAAAAATCACCTCTCTTTCCCTCAAAGGGTCTGCACATTTGCTGGGCTGCATTTGTACATTGTTACAGGGTGTACTTTGTACTACTTTATAACAATTTTGGCGTTCGTAATTGTTTGAGGTACCTGTTACATGCGCTCGGAAATAGAAAAAGTAGTCCTTCTCTAACTCCAAAGGTCTTTTCTTCCGAGTTCAAACCTTGGGAATAAGAATCATGTCACTTGTCATTCTCATGGTTCATTGTTTACTTATTTTATTTGGTTATCAATAATTCCTCAAAATTTTGAGAATATAGCCCTAGCGTGTCTTATAATAACTACAATGGTCGCAGAAAACGTGGTTAGAAATTAGTCGGCTGTCATCAAGTGTCATTACATGACTCTGTAATAATTTAGGCGTTCTAAGAATAAAGTTTCACATTATTCCAGAGTACAATTTCATCTGTCAATCTACATTCCATTACTATGCACAGTATTACATTACCAAGTGATTTACAGACGCACCCCTTTACGGTATTGAAGTTCCTGTGACGTTACTGATAGTATGTAGCCAGTGGTGCAATTTACACTCTAAAAGGATTTTTTCGCGAGTCCACGGTGTAGCACAGTGCAATACCGGGAACTGATACTTAAATTTTCGCGAAGA